CATCACCTAATCATAAAATTACTTCTGGTGAAAGATGACATGCCTTAAGAATTCCTAAGCTGCAGGCATTGTCTAAGGAATACACACCTATTGTATTACCTTGTTCTGTTCTCATACAATCTGTTTTTTACTTAACTTGGTGTTTTATACTTTCAAAAAGATTACACATATTTCGAAGTCCAGTATTCCTGCATCCAGCATTTTTTTGTATGTTTGTTTTGTGTTGTATTGGTACAGGGAGTTAAACTCAGAGCTAGGGTGCTTTTTCATTCAAGACTGGTGCTCTACCACTTGAGCCACACTTCCAGTTCCAGTCTTTGCTGGTTCACTGGAGATAAGAGTCTCACAGACTTTCCTGCCTGGGCTGACTTCAGCCTGCTGAGTAGCTATGATGACAGGCATGAGCCACCAATGTCTATCATCCTGATTTTTTTTTGGGGGGGGTCCAGTCATGGGGCCTGAACTCTGGCTTGGGCGCTGTCCCTCAGCTCTTCAGCTCAAGGCTAGCACTCTACCAATTATGAGCCACAGTGCCACTTCCAGCTTTTTTTATTTTTTTCCTGCTTATGTGGTGCTGAGGAATTGAACACAGGGCCTCATGCATGCAAGGCAAGCACTCTACCACTGAGCCACCTTCCCAGCCCCTATCATCCTGATTTTTAAGTAACATTTTACGTAACTATAATAGAAGGATCAGAACCATGAAACTGGTGTAGATATAATAATGTTAACAACTCACATTCAAATTTTGCTAATCAGCTACTAATGCTCTTTTTTTTTAGTGCAGGGTCCAATATAGGATCCCAAACTGAATAAAATTTAAATGTCTCTTTGATCTCCTCCTGTCCAGGAGTTGCTCAGCCTTCCCTTGTCTTTCATAAGCATAATTGTGTAAAGAATACTGGTTGCTGGGCTGGGAATGTAGTTCAGTGGTAGTGTGCTTGCCTAGCATGCACAAAGCCCTAAGTTCGATTCCTCAGTATCACATACACAGAAAAAGTTAGAAGAGGCACTGTGGCTGAAGTGGTAGAGCAAAAGAAGCTCAGGGACAGTGCCCAGGCCCTGAGTTCAAGCCCCAGGACTGGCAAAAAAAAAGAATACTGGTTGCCAAGTGGCAGTAGCTTGTGCCTATAATCTTAGCTACTCAGGAGACAGATCTAATTATCCAGGTTCAAAGCCAGCCTGGGCAGGAAAGTCTATGAGATTCTTGTCTCCAATTAAGCACCAGAAGATCAGAAGTAGAACTGTGGATCAAGGGGTAGAGCACTAGCCTTGAGCTGAAGAGCTCAGGGACAGAGCCCAGGCCCAGTGTTCAAGCCCCACGGGGGGGGGGGAGATAGGGGTAATAAAAAGAATACTGGTTGCCAGGTGCTGGTGGCTCACTCCTGCAATCCTAGGTACTCAGAAGACTGAGATCAGGATCACAGTTCAAAACCAGACCAGACAGGAAGTGGAGCTGTGGCTCAAAGTGATAGAGCACTACTAGCCTTGAACACAATAGCTCAGGGACAGTGCTAGCCTTGAGCACAAAGAGGTTGAGGGACAGCACCCAGGCCTTGAGTTCAAGCCCAGGACTGGCCAAAAAAAAAAAAAAAAAAGCTGGAAGTGGCACTGGGGCTTTCTCTGAGTAGTATATGGGAGATAAGAGTCTCATGTGGCTGGGAATGTGGCTTAGTGGTAGAGTGCTTGCCTAGCATGCATGAAGCCCTGGGTTTGATTCCTCAGTATCACATACAAAGAAAAAGCCAGAAGTGGTGCTGTGGCTCAAGTGGTAAAAGTGTTAGCCTTGAGCAAAAGGAGTTCAGGGACAGTGCCCAGGCCCTGAGTTCAAGCCCCAGGACTGGCAAAAAATAAAAATAAAAAAGAGTCTCACAGACTGTTCTGCCTGTGCTGGCTTCAAACTGTATTCCTCTGATCTCAACCTCTTGAGAAGCTAGGATTATAGGCATGAACCACCAGCACCTGGCTCTAACCCAGTTTTCTATTTATTAATTAGAAATTTCCTGTAAAAATGAGCTACTCCTTCTCTTTATTCAACTATTTACTTATGTCAGTAAGGGCTCGTGGATGTTTGTAGGCTACAATCCATTATTATCATTATTTTATTGTGCTGTTCATAGTATCTTAAACTGGGCCACAGAAAGCTCTGATCTTGAAACAGTCTCATGTTTTTTTTTCTTTGAGTCATTCCTTACTTTATGATACTACAAGATGTTTCAAGCTCATTTTGTAATTTTTTTTTTAAATGAAGGCTAGCCCTCTACCACTCTGAGCCACAGTACCACTTACCGTTTTTCTAGTGGTTAATTGGAGATGAGTCTCACGGACTTTCCTGCCTGGGCTGGTTTCAAACTGTGATCCTTGGACCTCAGCTTCCTGAGTTGCCTGTACTGCAGGTGTGAACTGCCAGCACCCAGCTTTCCTCTTGTACTTTTCTGCCCCAGTGCTGGAATCCCCTGGTTCCTTTCACTGGGAGAATGCTATTTACCAGGGTATGGATATGCCCTTTGCTAGTCTATGACATTGGCTTGTGCGCCCTCTCGTGGACAGATCTGGGAAATACCATGCACCCTTGCCAACCCACATTTTAAAAATTATGCAAAAGGAGAACAAAAAAGTTAAGCAACTTGCAGTTAGGAAAAAAATATCTAAATATTCCTCACACCTGCAACTTCACAGATCGTATCACATGGGCTAAGGCTGTTTTATAAAATAAGCTTAGAGAAAAGTTGCAAAGTGAACAAGAACAAGTAGAGGTGGTACAAGCCAAAGTTTGGAAGAAAAGAGGCCAAAGATGAGCAGCTTCACTTTCAGTTATGTCCACAAAATTCAGGTCACACAGGGCCACAGGAAAAAATAATAGACTAATCTTGGACCTAGCTTAGAACCCTAGATATGTTATCCTTACCTTTGTGAACTTGGGTCTTTCATTTGCTTTCATTAAGCTTCAGTTTCCTCATCTGAAAATAAAGGACATAGTTATTTAGTTAACAAATATACCTCTTTTAAAGCAGTTTGATAATAATATAAAAAATATTTTTTAAAAACTGTTCTCGCCAGTGGCTCCCACCTGTAAATCCTAGCTAATCAGAAGGCTGAGATCTGAGGATCATAGTTCAAAGCCAGCCTGGACAGGAAAGGCTGTGACTCTTGTTTCCGATTAACCACCAGAAAATGGGAAGTAGAGCTATGGCTCAAAGTAGTAGAGCACTAGTCTTGAGTAAAACAGCTCAGGGACAGGGCTCAGGCCCTGAGTTCAAGCCCCACAACCAACAACAACACACACAAACTATTAGAAAAAAATTAGATGAAGCAGTTATGCCTGTTTCAACCATCATCATCATCATCATCATTATAATTTTGTGTGCTGGTCCTAGGGCTTAAACTCAGGGCCTGGGCACTGTCCCTAAGCTTTTTCATTCAAGGCTAGTGTTCTACCACTTGAGCCACAAAACACCACGTCAGCCTTTTTTGTGGTTAGTTGGCAATAAGAGCCTCAAGGATTATACTGCCTGGGCTGGATTTGAACCGTGATCCTCAGCTCTCAGCCTGAGTAGCTAAGATTACAGGCATGAGCCACTGGTGCCCAGCTGCCTCACAGCACTTTCACAGCACAAGAACATTTGCAGAGTGGCACTGAGGAAGTGGTGCAACCCCCCACGCCCCATCTGCGTGGCAGAAAGGGCATGCGGCTGGGAAATCCGAGAGCTGTGCTGAACCTCGTGCTCCCCCAGGGCCTCTACAAACAATTTGTCCATCCACTCCGTGAAGAAACATTTACCAAGTGCCTACCCGGAGCCAGAAAACAGGAGCTTGAGTGACTTCCCAACCACTAGCTCTGGCCTAATGAGGGAGAAAGGTTTTGTTTTCCTGTGCTAGGAAATGTCATCACAAAAATACCACAAGAGAAACTGCTTTTTCTCACCTGCCTCTGGAGGCTGGGAATATAAGATCAAAGTGTCGGGAAGATTTGGTTCTCTTGTGGAACCTCTTGTCTTAGGTTTAGGCTGCTTTAATAAAATTATTTTTAAACTTTTTTTTTGGTTGGTTGTGGGATTTGAACTCCGGGCCTGGGCACTGTCCCTGAATGATTTTGCTCAAAGTTAATGCTCTACAACTTTGAGCCACAACACCACGGCAGTTTTCTGGTGGTTGATTGGGGAGAAGAGTCTCTTGGACTTTCCTGCCCAGGCTGGCTTTGAATCAAGATCCTCAGATCTCAGCCTCCTGAGTAGTTAGACTTACAGGGGTGAGCTACAGTGCCTGTCGAAGGGAGGGAGAGGAGGAG